CAGAGATAATCATTGATGCTATGAAATAGCTTCCAGTCTAACTGGAGTGGACAGTGGACAGTTTGCCCACTCAGGCTCACTGTTTTTGGTAGAAACAGCACCCCATTTTTCCCTCAGGACACACCTTTCTTCTTTAACTTTTCCTTCTTTTCAGTGAGCTGCTACCCCAGAAACTTCCCATTTTTTCTCTGCTGAAGTTAATTAAGCAGATCCTCAATGGTAAGCTGACCTGTCAGACCCAGAGAGGCTCGCTTACTGTATTCAGTCCCTACTGCTGCTGTAGCAAATTACGACAAACTTGGTGGCTTAAAACAACACCAAGTTATCCTACAGTTCTGGACATCAGAAACCCAAAATCAAGGTGTCATCAGGATTGCATTCCTTCTGGAGGCTCTAGGGCAGAATCTGTTTCCTTGCCTTTCTAGCTTCTAGAGGCTGCTTGCTTCCTTGGCTTGTGGCCCCTTCCTCCATCTTCAGATCTAGCAGTGTAGGTCTTCAAATCACTCTCTGACTCTGGCATCCCTGCCTTCCTCTTATGAAGACCCTTGTGATTCCATTGGGCCCACCTGGATAAAATCCCCTCTCAAGATCCTTAACTTAATCACATCTGCAGAGTGCCTTTTGCCATGTAAAGTAACATATTCACAGGTTCCGGGGATTAGGAGTTGTCTTAGTCATCTAGCACTGCTATAACAGAGATACCACAAGTGGATGGCTTTGACAAAAAGAAATTTATTTTCTCACAGTCAAGTAGGCTACAAGTTCAAATTCAAGGCATCAGCTTCAGGAGAAGGCATTCTCTCTGTTGGCTCTGGAGGAAGGTCCTTGTAATGCATTAGTCTTCCCTTGGTCTGGGAGCATCTCAGCACAGGAACCTCAGGTCCAAAGGACACAGTCTGCTCCCGGCACTGCTTTCTTGGTGGTGTGAGGTTCCCACGTGTCTCTGCTTGCTTCTGTCTTTTATATCTCAAAAGAGATTGGCTTAAGACACTACCTAATCTTGTAGACCTCATCAGTATAACTGCTGCTAATCCATCTTATTACATCATAGTGATAAGAGTTTACAACACATAAGGAAATCACATCAGATTATAAAATGGTACACAGTCATACAATACTGGGAATCATGACCCAGCCAAGTTGACAGATATTTTGGAGGGACACAATTCAATCCATGACAGATGTGTACATCTTTGGGGGCCATTATTGTTATTCTGTCTACCACACTTACCAAATAAAGGTCCCATGGCTAATAACTGGTAGAGCCAGGAATCGAACCCAAGACTCTGGACTCTAAGAGGCTTGTTTTTTCTGCCTTGCCATAGTCACATCTCCAAACAGGAATAGCCGCTTAGTGCCCTGCTAACGCTCCCCTGCCCACACAGCTGGAGGAGTTTAAGGGATGACGCTGCGACCAATGGCAGCGTCCTCCCGGCTCTGCTGATGACTCACTGAGGAAGTGGTGCAATGCATTTAGCTCAGACGTATTTGCTTTCTTCAGAGAGGATTAAAACCTTTCTTACAGAGATGTTTGGAGATTTAGGGTTGATAGAAAATACTATTTTTCAGAGAAAAAAGCCCTAAAGAAGTAATCATATAGTTATCTTTATTTTAATCACTCTGACTCTAAGCCCACGTGAGGCCAGTTTTCAGCAAGCATCTGTTGGCCACTTCCAATAGGCTGGTCCTGCTGCTGGGCTTATTTAACCACCACAACCACCCCGCAAGGAAAATGTCAACCTTATTTTACAGATGAAGAAACCAAGGCACGGTGGGGTGAGGGTTGCTAATAATTTGCCCCAAATCAACAGCTGGTAAGTGGCAAAAGTAGGATTTAAATATCAAGTTCAGAGCTCCTGTCTCCCATCTGACCCTTTGTAGTGATTTGCTGTGTAGCCCCAGGAAGTCTAGACGCACAGGAGTGGGGTCTGGACAGTAAAAGATAGGAATTGAAATGTTGGAATGTTGCAGTCCTCTCCTAAAAAGGAGAGGAACCCTGCTGATTTCTGAGTAGCTTTTGCACCCCTTCTGAAATGACTTCCCTGAGTTACCACTTTCGGGGTCCAGACAAACACCCATCTCTTCTGCAAAGTCTTCCTTGACTACCTGGGCTCTCACCTCATTCAGTACATGACAAATAGTAGGGCTTTATCAAATGTTGCTTTTCTTGTCCCTCCTCTGATCTCTTTTTTTTGTTAATACCACTTTTCTAGCACATAAGTATTGCTGGGCTCCTTTTTTTTTTAACCATGTGCGTGAGCTATGGAGTAGTGTTTTTCTGTAGATTTTTGTAATCCTTATAGTTTTATGTTATTTCTGAGTAAGAATTTATATTTGTTTCCCTTGTGGAGAGAACCTGTTCGCCTCAAATCAATTCCGACTCATGGAGACCCCATGTGTTACAGAGTAGAACTGCTCCATAGGGGTTTATTGCTTGTAATTGTTATGGAAACAGAGTGCCAGGCCTTTCTTCTGTGGTACCACTGGTTGGGTTCAAACTGCCAATATATAAGTTAGTAATCGAGTGCAAACTATTTGTGCCACCTGGTTGGAAAATAAAGGAAAGATACATGAGGCTGTAAGAAAGCTGTATAACTAAAAATACTGAGACCGAAGGGCCTTTGCGAATGCAAAGAACATAGTCAGACCTTTGCTTTCTTCCAGGTGAGAGGAGCTGGGGAACCAGAGGCCTCCAGGGTATATCACACTGCAGGGTTAAGCCCCTGAGCACAGAGTCAGTGGCTTTGAGTAAAGAAACTCCCCAGTGGAGGAGAAGGGCAGGGGCTGTTAGAGGAAAAAGTGTGTTTCCAAATGTGTGGATTAAGGATAGGAATATAACACATGAATCTCCTTAGGCTCAGGGTGCTCTACCTAATTGGTGTACCTGGGAGGGATGCTGGAAGGAAGGGGTGCATAGGTTGGAGACACAACAGCAGTAAAGTTGGGCTTGCTGAACTTTTCTGCAATTTCTAAAACAATGGTTCTTTATCTGAGATCCTAGACCGCTGGGCAGGGTGTGAAAATAACAAAGAAAGACAAAGGCTTCAGAGGGGTCCATGATCCCTTTTAAATTGTGGGGTAGGGGAGCATATTGCAGGTTTAAAAGTCCGTTTTCCTGGGTAGCAGGTTCTCTTGGGGAAGAAGTTTCTCCTGTGGAGACACAGGGTAGGCCTGTGGCTCCGTTAGGGCACTGTCAGGCAGGGCAGGACTAGCAGGAGTCTTCTATGCTCCCAAATCTATACAGAAGTTGAGAGCCCACCTGCAGAGTATAATGTTACCTATCTAGGACATGTGGCTCCTCCTTGACACAGGAGAATGCCCTTCCCCTTTACCTGATGGCACTTCTAGTTTTCTCGTTTATAGGTTTGTCTCCTGTCAGCTCCAAACTCTGGATTATAAACTCCTTGAAATCAGTTGTTGTTGCTGTTAGTTGCTGGCAGGTCGGCTCCAACTCAAGATGACCCTTGTGTATAACAGAACAAAATGTTGCGTGGTCCTGCACTTTCCCCATGATCGTTAATATGTTTGAGTCCATTGTTGTGGCTATTGTGTAATGCCCTCCAACCTAGGGGCTCATCTTCCAGCACTATATAGGACAGTATTCTGTTGTGATCCATAAGGTTTTCATTGGCTAATTCTCGGAAGTTGATCACTAGGTCTTTCTTAGTCTGGAAGCTCTGCTGAAACCTGTCCACCATGGGTGACCCTGCTGGTATTTGAAATATCAGTGGCATAGCTTCCAGCATCATAGTAACACACAAGCCACCACAGTACGACAAACTGACAGATGGGTGGTGCTTTCGAGCAGAGACCTATCTTAATCATTGTTGTTGGTTGAACTTGTTAGTACAGCTTCTAAGGAGATTCTTGGAAGACTCTGGAGAAGATAGAATACAGTATGACCCACCAAAACAAACCCTAGTGTCCAACTTTCCCTATCACTCAATCAATCAAATAACTCCGTGTACCAGACCCTCCCCTCAGCCTGTCAACCAACGTGTCAGTGCCATCAGGAGGATTGGTGGATGTCAAAGAATGCCTCACCATGTGTGACCACCAGTTTACCTGGCAAAATGTGGGCATCAAGAAAGGGTCGATTCCTTGAGGGGACATTAACAACAAGAGGAAATTAGTCTTTGTGTCAGCACTTGTTCAGTTTGTACAAGGCAGTTGGAACAAGCAGAATCAGGTAATGCCTTTGCTGTAGAGATACTGAGATACCCGAAGGGCTCTCTGAGACACAATTATAACCTAAGGGGAGTTAAGGTTGAGCTGTATTTACTTAGGGTGGCTTTTAATTTAGTTTAATCAGAATTACTCATAAATTATCAATTAATTACTATCTGATGTTCAGTTAAATCTTCTCAGCCATGGAGCTAGCTTAGCTTTGCTCTGAATGCCATCCGCTGTAATTGTAGGGTACTTTGTCAACATTTAATCAGCAGTACTTATTAGTGTGGCGTTGATGTGGTGTAGCCATCCCAGCATTATCAATCATGCTGAGCAGCCAGAGCAAACCCTGACACCATTGCTCTTTGTCACATTATGCAGCCCCTGGGCTTTCAGGCTAGGCATAATGCTCACTTTTCTCTAAATGGACACTCTATCTATGCAGTTCAACCCAATTTTTTGAGCTGCAGTCTGTAACAGCTGGGCTGAGCATTACCAGTTCTTGCAGTCATAAAGATCTTTTCTTTTGCTGTTTTCACACCCTGTCCAGCGAATGTGAAATTCCAAGAGACTTGTCCAAAATTGGACTTCACAGCATGCTGTGTGTGTGTGTGTGTGTGAGAGAGAGAGAGAGAAAGAATTTCATATTCTTAAATACAGTGTATGACTCAGAGAAAAGAGAAGTGACCTTTTGGAGGTTTTTTTTTTTTTTTTTTTTGGTTTATCAGATATTTCTGGAGATTGATGTATTGTGTAAAGCTCTACCAATAGAAGCTTATCTTGTTTTAGTTAAGTAGCTCATTGTTTCATCTCTCTCTCTCTCTTTTCAGCCTCTACGGCAGACACATGCAGGCAAACCCAGAACCGCCAAAGAAGAATAATGACAAATCGAAAAAGATCAGCCGGAAACCCCTGACAGCCAAGAACAAATAAGGCCTTGGCATGGGCTGGGCTTCTGGACTTTCTCTCACTATCACTCTGGCTTCTCTTGCTCTGTCGTACGAACGAATACAATGTGTGTGTGTCTGGTTTGTTTGGTTTTTTTTATTTTATTTTTTTTTTCCTTTTCTTTTCACTGTCTTCTTTCATGTCCTTACCACCTTACCTTTTAAATTCTTTCTTTTGGTAGGTGGCAGATTTTTGTAAGTTCTTAAAACCATTTCCATTTGTTTCCTTAGAATTGTCAAAGGCAGGAAACAAAGCTGTAATTCAACTGCAAATTCCATAATAGGCACAGGTTTCAATTCCTTGAATAGACATCACAAAGTTGCTTATTATCACAAGAATAATTAAGGTCGTGTAACCATTTAAATGTCACAGTTAACACTTTTCACCCTTCTGTTTATTCACATAAGTCATGATTTTGCTTTATTAAGTTTTCCTTCACTACTGAGATATTCTGTTAGTTTAATTTCTAAATGATTTTAATAAAATCTTAAATTTATATCACATGTTGCTTCTTTAATAGGATAAAGGACAGTCTGATCTTGGGGGATCCACATTTTTGTTTACTTTTTTCCCCGAAAATTATCTTGTCCAATTTTATTGGTTGTAGAAGATAAAACCCTCAAACTTTCCATGAAAAAAAAAGCAAAATTAAATCAGAGTTAGTTTCTTCTGACATCGATTTTGTCAAGCTTTTTTTTTCTTTGAAGTCAGTTTCTAAATTAGGAAGGAGCAGAAAAACAAATCTCTAGGAGATTCTGCCAAAAGATTTTGGAGAGCATCTTTGCTAGCTGAAGAAATGGGAACTTCTGCCAGTGGCTGGTAGACAAAGAGCTGTGGAACTGAGAGAGAAGAAAACTCAAGTATGTTTTTTGGCAGTACAGAAGATGTGCTCATATCGAAGCATCCTTCCTCTAAGTGACTTGAGTGTGCCAAAGAAGTGGTTTAAATGTGCGCACTACACACCACACCCAGCATAGAAACTGCAGTTGCAGAGTCATTAAACAGCCGATTGTTTAACATCTGCAATAGGCAGCTTTCGTTCTTATCGACAGTAATATGTATGCAGATGAAAATAATCTGAGCAGAAGTTTTGTTCTAAGAGGGCTGCCAACATCTTAATGCCTGAAAACAAAAGGTGTGTAAAAGTATGACATAATACTCTCAAGCTGATCGTGATGTATGGATGCCCTGCCCCCACCCCCCACCCCACCCCAATCGTCTCCTTTCTTTTCACAGTTGAGCTTCCAGGACTGGGACCACTGGGGCAAGTAAAAGGCCAGAATCAAAACAAAATAAATAATTCTGAGTTACTGAGGAAATAGACTTTGCATTTGAATTGGAAAGGCCACTGAGCAAAATGTAACCCTCTTGTTAACTTCCTGATAGAACATTGTTGTTAGGCAGCCATTGAGTCCATTTTCCACCCATAGCGACTCCATGTGACAGGGTGGAACTGCCCCATAGGTTTTCCTAGGCTGTAATCTTTATGGAGCAGATCACCAGGTCTTTTCTCCTATCAAGCTGCTGGGTGGGTAGATTCAAACCACCAACATTTTGGTTAGCAGCCGAGCGCTTAATCTTTGCACCACCAGGCCTCCTTGATAGAAGAAGTATCCCCAGGTATCATCTCCTGTTCAGGGGTGGAGTTGATGTAACTTTTCTAGGTGCGATGTTTGCCTCATCCAGAGAAAGCCCGTGATTTTGTTGTTGTTTATTTTGTTTTGTTTTTAAATTGGAGGAAGCACAATGTTTCTACTGTTGTTGACTAGGAAAGGCTTAGCTTAAACAAGCAACAAAGAATTAGTAACAAAACACTATTAAGGTCTCTTATGAATAGTTTTTTAAAAGAGGAACACTCTAAAGAGAAATATAGGCACTGTATATTCACAAGGAGGAAATGATCAGGAGACATGAAAAGAAAAAAAAAGGCTCAGCTTCACTAGTAATCCAAAAAAGAAAAAAATCACAGCAGAAATACTGTGTAACAATAAGAAACATATAAACACTTTTTAAGGAGTATTCAGTGCTGGAAGAGTAACATAAACATTCTTATACACTACTATTGGGAATATAAATTGCTCTCCAAAATGTGGTAGCAATTTGACAATATGTAGCAAAACCTTAAAATTGTATATGCTGACCCAGAATTGTTATTTCTAGAAATTTATCCTGAGGAAATTATCAGAGATGCACACAAAGAGCTTTGTTTGAGAATTGCCCTTGTAGAATTGGAAACACAAAAAAAACATGGAAAAAAGTCAAATGCCCACTATGGAAGAAGGGTTCAATGAATTATGATACATCCATATGATAGACTTTTATGAAGACATTAAAAATGGGTGAATAATAAGGGCAAAGGGAAATAATCATATAGTAGAAATAATCATTTAAGTAGTAAAAGCAAGATTTTAAAAAAACTATACGAGAACAATCCCAGTTGTATAAAAAAGGAAATTGCATTGGTAATGTGTATTCACAGAGAAAAAAAATGGAAATGGATCAGATTTTTAAGACTGATAAATTATCTCTATATAGGGGATGAATTTTTAATTTTATTTTTTAGACTTATTCTGTACTTTAAGTTTTCTATGATATGCATGTATACTTTTGTAATCAGAAGGTATTAAAGGACTTTTTTTCAAAATGAAATTGTATATTATGGTATATATGCAATCCAGAAAATGTGATCAGATATTTAAAATCAAAGCACAATTGAACATCTGAGTGGTTTTCTTTTTTTTTTTTTTTCTTTGTTACTAAAAATGAGTTTGCTGATCTTTTCATGCACTGTTTTTGGTTGCTTGATACCTCGGTTAATAAAAAATCCACAGTTCAAAAGGTAGCCCTTTTTTTCTCCCATAGGAGCCCCAGTAGCACAATGGTTAAGTGCTCAGCTGCCAACTGAAAAGTCAGCAGTTCAAACCCACCAGCTGCTCTGCAGGAGAAAGATGTGGCAGTCTGCTTCTGTAAAGATTACATACAGCCTTGGCATAACATAGTTTATAAAGAAAATGCTCTACATCCTACTTTGGTGAGTAGCGTCTGGGGTCTTGAAAGCTTGTGAGGGGCCATCTAAGATACTCCACTGGTCCTACCCCACCTGGAGCAAGTCCAAGAAGAACACCAAAGACACAAGGGAAAGATAAGTCCAAAGGACTAATGGACCACAACTACCACAGCCTCCACCAGACTTCAGTCCAGCACAAGTAAATGGTGCCTGGCTACCAATTCCTCTGACAGGGATCACAGTAGAGGGTCCCGGACAGAGCTGGAGAAAAATGTAGAACAAAATTCTAACTCACAAAAAAAGACCAGACTTACTGGTCTGAGAGAGAATAGAGAAACCCCAAGAGTATGACCCCCAGACACCCTTTTAACTCAGTACTGAAGTCACTCCTAAGGTTCACCCTTCAGCCAAAGATTAGACAGGCCCATAAAACAAATAATACGTGTACCTCAACCATGTATGTGAGACTAAATGGGCACACCAGCCCAAGGGCGAGGATGAGAAGGCAGCAGGGGACGTGGAAGCTGGATGAATGAAAATGAGGAACTGAAGGTTGAGACGGGGAGGGTGTTGACACGTCACAGGGTTGGCCAAAGTCAGAAAACAATATGTGTATTAATTGTTTAATGGGAAACTAATTTACTCTGTAAAACTTCATCTAAAGCACAATTTAAAAAAAAAAAGATTACAGCCTTGGAAACCTTGTGGGGCAGTTCTTTTCTGTCCTATAGGGTGGCTATGGGTCGGAATCAACTCTACCGTAATGGTTTGTTTGTTTGTTTTTCCATTTTTCTTATATGTATTTCTTATATATGTAAGTATATAGGTTTTCTTATATTCAATAAAAATACAAAATAGCAGGTGCCCAGCTGATTCCAACTAGCCCAGCTTCTGCACTCAGGGCCCCGGTCTGTTCCATATGCGGCCTCAGCACTCCCTCACCCTTTCTCATTCATTCATTCATTTCAAAAGGTAACCCCTTTTAACAAATACATTCTGACCTTTTTAGTACAAGGATGATATAGGTTCTCACTGGCGATGCCTTGCAGTGTCTCTACCCCAGTACTCAGAACCTGTATGGGACCCATGGATATTTTTTCAGGAACCTGTTCCTTGTTTGAAACCTCTTTCCCAGGGCTTCTCCTCTTTATGTAAAACACCAGCCTTGCCCATGTGGCTGGATATCTTAGAGATGGTGTGCAGAATACTTTTACATTTAGTTCTTGAAACAACCTTGTGAGATAGGCAGGGCGGGAGTATTTGGGAGTAAATTGTATAGTGGTTCTTAGAGGAGACAAGTGTTTCTCTTTCTTTGCTATGTTCTGTTTATTGTGAGTCAATTGATTTTTCTTCTAAAATTTTTTAGGTAGGAGCAAGTAGAAAAGGAGCCCTAGTGGCACAGTGATTAAGAGCTACGGCTGCTAACCAAAAGGTCGGCAGCTCGAATTCACCAGCTGTTCCTTGGAAACCCTACAGGGGCAGTTCTACTCTGTCCTATAGGGTTAGAATCAACTCGACAGCAATAGGATTTTTTAAGTAGAAAAAAGTGAAAGCAGGTGGAAAAGATTGGAGGGTGAAGAGTTCATGGTCAAAACAAATTTTTGCTGCAGGATTATTCAGAAACTTTACCATCTTAATGTGTATTTTGAATCTAAAGGCCATTTAACCACAGAACCACTTCCTCACCAAGCATTATACCCCACTAGTAATCTGTGGAACCCGCTTTGGGACACACTGTGGGATCAAGCAACTGGCCTAAAGTCACATCAGATTCAGTCTTTGGAATAGAAGCTGGAAGCCTCTTAGCACTGGTAAATCCTCACTTTGATAAATTGGAATAGATGGAGAGTGAAAATCATATAAACCCAGAGGAAACTGGATTTTCCCATTCTTTGTGTCAATATTAATTGCTGGAAGTATAGAACTGAAATTGACCCTGGCTGCTTATATTTTTACTTACTACTCACTCAGGCTTCCACATACTATGCACTCAGTACTTGTTTGTTGTGTTGAATAGCAAAGTTAAGTTTCTAACAAAGCTTCATAACTATAAAATACCCCACATGCATTTTTTTTAAAAAATCTTATATGTTCTACTTTCAAAATATAACCAGAACTGGAGATTACTCACCACCTCCTTCCGCCCTGGTCCAAGCCACCCTCCCCTCTCACCTGGATTATTGTAATACCTTCCAGATGAGCTCCCTGCTTTCACCCTTGCCTCTTAAAATCTGTGTTTAACAGAGTGATCCTTTAAACACTTACATCAGATTACAACACACTTCTGCTCAGAATCTTCCAGTGGTATTTCCTTTCACCCAGGGTGAATTTGAATCATCCAGTACACAAGGTCCTACATGGTTTGCCCCTGTCCCTTATATCGTACCATTTTCACCTGCATTTGCTGTACTGCAGCCACTCTGACCCACAGGCTCTTCTCTCCTCAGGGCTTTTCTGCTTTTGTTCCTTTTTGTAGAATGTTCTCCCAAATATAACTCCCTCACCAACTTCAAGTCTTTGTTAAAATCTCACTTTCTCAGGAAGGCCTCTCCTGATTTTACAATACAATTTATGTTCTGTACTGCCTATCTCCCACCCCTAGAATGTAGGCTTCATAAGGAAAAGGATCAGCAGAACTACAGCCCATAGGGCAAATTTGGCCCATGCTGGTTTTCGTAAACAAAGTTTTATTGGAACACAGCCATTCCTGTTTGTCTATGTATTGACTGTGGCTGCTTGTGTGCTACCACAGCAGAGCTGAGTAGTTGTACCAAAGACCATACAGCGTGCAAAGCCAAACATATTTACTATCTGGCCCTTTACAAAAAAAAGTGTGCTGACCCCTGGTCTATTCCATTAATTGTTACAGTCAATCCTCATTATTTGCAGGTTTGTCTATTCACTGAAACTTATTTGTAACTCCCAAATCAGTACTAGCACGTTCGTGATCATTTGCACACATGCAGAGAGTGGTGAAAAATTTGACTTACTCAATGCACACATTCCCATCTGAGGTTGAGCAAGGTGATGCTCTGCTGTCTTGTTTCAGTTTTCATACAAGAACAGGTATTCTGT